TGGATCCCTCTTGCTGGGCACATTTTGATAATAAAACTGTCAACTTTGTAGAACACGTTTTATGGGTCGTGTCTGTTGACCAGCGTATGGAAAGCAGGAAACGTGGTGAGGATTGTTGGAAATCTTCAGACCTGCCTGTGGGCTTTGGTGGCTCATGCACTCTTTGCAACGAAAGCGCTGAGAGCAGCTTTTGCTTCCTCCCTTTTCATAAGCTGCGTAGCTCATCAAAGGCCCATCTCTTGAGTCTACAGATCTTGGCTCTGATTGCCAGCCAGCCTCTAAACAGATTACATAAAACAACTTAAAATATTCATTTAAAAAAGTCAGCCGAAAGAAAATTTAAAAAACAAGTTGACACGAAATGTTAACAAAAGATAAATAAAATCAGTATTTTTAAAACGATTGCATGCAATAAAACTATAAGTGATTGTAACATGCAGCTTTTGACATGTCTGGGTAGCTTTGTTGAAGTGAAGGTTTTTAGCAGATACCAAAAACAATACAGCAGAGAGTTCCAGAGAGTAATGAATCAGCAGCAAGTGCAGATCTCTGAGCAGAGTATAACATGCTGGCAAGGTCTCACTCCTGTCAGCAATCACGCTGCAGTTATCTGCACTAACTGCGGTATTCCACTTCCTCAAATTCTGCGGCACGCAGAAAGCATCTAGGATCGAGGGATCTCCTTCCAGAGCTAGAGGCAGCCGTGCATCTGAATACCTGTTGCTGGAAACTGCAGGAAGGGGAGAGTGCTCTTGTGCTTGAGCTCTTGCACGCCTTCTTCTCCAAACCACAGCGTGAGTTTTTGGGGCTGGGGCTGGGGAGCGACTGGGCACCCGTTTTCCTAGAGCGCCAGGAACAGTTGCTTTGACAAGCTGGCAAATGGGTGCCTGGCCCATCTGCTAGACTGATCAGGGCAGCAGACACCTTTGAAGCATGGGGGAGGCCTCTGCTGGTGATGTTCCTTCAGTGCTCTTGTCCAGGAACGCCTCCAAACCACACTGCTTGGAGTGTCAGTGCTGCTTGTCGCACACCCCTGTTCCTTAAGCCTCCTGCTTCAGCGCTGGCAGAGCCTCAGAACCTGCCAGTGCCCACGGGAGCTCAGGCCTAATTCTCACCGTGGCGAGAGCCTTATCTCTGGACTGTTTCGCTTCACATTACAGGCGGGGACTTGTATCGTTGAATCCTCTTTCGTGCAACAAAGCAGGACCCCTTCCTGCATATAGAAAACCAGCATGTCAAGGAGATGAACAGGGTTTGAAAAGGATTAAAACTCTTCTCCCTCGCAGGCATAGGCATCTGGTTGCCCGCTGTGAGAACAGGATGCTTGACTAGATCAGCCGCTGGCCTCTAGATCCAGCTGCAGGACACTTATGTTCTTACACTAATCTAATATGTACAGGGATTTTGTGTATGCACACACAGCAGAAACTCCCACCTGCAGTCTGTAGTGGTATAGCCCAAGACCTTTCTACCCTCAGGGCGGAAGAGCCCATTGCTGCTGCAGGCAGTGTGTTCCAGGTTGCCAAGTTTCCAGGAGACACAGCCCCTGCTCTCTACGTAAGCCACCCTGTACTACAGACTTCCTTAAAATGCCTTTCCCACCTCCACCTTCTCTTGAGAAAATCCCCAGGGAGGAAGGCAGCTTGTTCCTTTGCTTGCCTGTAGAAGTTCTACTTAAACCACTGAGCTCCTGCCAACCTAGAAGTTTGAAAGCACACCAGTGCAAGTAGATAAATAGGTACCACTGCAGCGGGAAGATAAACTGCATTTCCTTGTGCTCTGGTTTCTGTCATGGTGTTCTGTTGCGCCAGAAGCGGTTTAGTCTTGCTGGCCACACAACCTGGAAAAGCTGTCTGTGGACGAACGTCAGCTCCCTTGGCCTGAAAGCGAGATGAGCGCCATAGTTGCCTTTGACTGAACTTAACCATCTAGGGGTCCTTTACCTTTTACCTTTACCTGCAATGGGAGTCCATCCATTCTTGCCCTGTCCTCTCTGAGAACAGTGAAAAATAACATCGCTGCATTTCTCATGTCCGATATGTCTTCATTTAAGGAAGCGGGGGGCACAGTTTCATTTATTTTTTGCTCTTCTGGCTGGATTGATTAGAGCCAATGTTTCACAGCCGAGCAAAGCAAGCAAAGGCGAAAGTGGAAACGGCGATGTCTTCTTTTGGAATTCCAAACGGCATTGAGAAGGCTGAAGGGATGGAGCGGCCAAAGTTGCAGGGTCCAAGGCCTCTTCCTCCTCCCCACCTCCTTCTGTCTTTTTCCTTGCCTCCCTCCCCCCTTGCCAGTTTTTATGGCACAGAGTGCAGGAGAAAAGCAAGGGGTGTGTGTCAAAGGAAACGTTGAAGCGCAACTTTCCATCCAGGGCGCAGGGGCAACGCTGGGGAAGGAAATGTTAAGTGAACCTAAGAAACCCCAGAGCTGCTTCTGTGGCTTCTTCCAAGTGTTTTTAATTTCATTCATATCTTTTTGTTTCTCTTGCTGCTAAACTGGGGCAAGCAACCTAGCCAGGAAAGTCCTCCCAGAGTGGGAAAAGAAAGAAAACCCCAAATCCTGGAGAGAGAGAGAGAGAGAAGGGTCATTCTGGGCTGAGCCGCACTGCCTTTTCCATGTCTCCTGTTGTTCGGATGACTGCGGGAAAAGCCTCACGTCACTTTTCCTGAAAAGGGCAAATCCCTTGCTCGAAAGGAGATGGCGTACATGGTCTAACAAGGGAGAGTTTGTGGGGATCGTTCTTCACTCCTCGCCTTCGGTTGCGAGCGAGACCTGTGACCTCCTCTGGACCGTTGCAAATGTGAAACTTGGCACCAAAATGTGCTGGCTCTCAATTTTCCAGTTGCTTTCTCTCTCTCTCTCTCTCTCTCTCTCTCTCTCTCTCTCTCTCTCTTTATTCTTCACTCTCTCCCTCTTTTTTCCACCGAGTGTCATCCTGCCAACCAGTGATTTTATTATTATAAACAGGATGTTGTATTCACTTTTAAGAAGGAATATGAAACTGGAGGTAGAATTACACACTGCACTTTCTCAGCTGCCAAAATAGAAAACAATGAACTAAAAATACCTAGTGCAGTTAAAAGGGTGTTGCGGCAAGGAAATCGGACGGATCCGTGAGGTGGGTTGCTGTCCGAAATGGGGAGTTTGTTCTAAGCCGCCCTGAAACCCTGTCTCAGACGTTAGGGGTGCCAGGCTTTGAACACAACAGACAAGCAAACAAGCATTGTTGCCTGAGAGACCTAAGCCCAGAAGAGGAGCTCTGTTAAAACCGGCAGTAGTTAATGAGCCTGCTGCATCCCTGTAGGCGGAGTTAATGAAACGTTGCTTTCATAGATGGGAATCTCCAAGGAGGACCCCCTGTGGTTCTTGGGGTCCCCCCACCCACATTTGAGGGAAGTTTACAGGCAGAGGATTCTTGACTGAGTTAGTTTGCTGGTTAGTTAGGAGCATGAGCTGTGAGACAGGTGAGGTCTGGCCCATGGTCACAAATATATGAGCTGGCCTAATGCACTACTCTTTTTTCCTGAGCTTTAACCTCCTTAGCTGCAGCATGTGAATAAGGCTGGCCAACATTGCAGGGTCCTTGTCAGGGTTATAGAGGCAGGGTCCATTAAGTGAACAGTTTTTGGTTTTTTTAAAGAGGCATTGATAGAAAGGGGAAGAATCCAAGCTGCATGCAAGCAGGCAGAGACTATCCCCGAGTGCACCCTGTTTCTGCTCCTCCCTCTTCAGTTCTCCTCTGGTCCTAGGAGACAGTGGGCAGGAGGAGACAGTGAACCACCCTGAGATATTTTGATGAAGGGTAGTAAATCAATCAATCAACCAACCAACCAACCAACCAGTCAGTCAGTCAGTCAGTCAGTCAATCAAATAAATAAATGGTTTGGGAGCCCTTGACTCCCCACCAGCCTGACCAACCTCTCCCTTCTCCTGCACTTGTTCTTCGCTCTTCAGTCCTGCAGCTTTTCCTGCCTCTGCCTCTCGTCTTCCGGCTGATACAGGTTCCTCTGTATCCACTGACCCTTTCTTCCAAGTCAGTCTCCAACCCTGCTTCTCCCGCTGCCCCACTCATCAGTTTTCACCCACCACTCCCCGGTGTTCTAACATGGATCAAGGTGATCCGCTTGAAATCTTTGCGGGTTCAGAGATATGGCACCAGGTGATTCTGGATGTTACTTAAAATGGCAAGCAGGATCTTCCGAGGGACTAAAGATTTCCTTGGTGTCAGTTGAACAAGCGTGCCAAAGCATTCCTCGCCTGGCTTTTGTTCTGTCCTGGGCACGGAGGTGCTGTTCTCAGCGCTGTTTCTAGCTGGAAACTCCAGGCAACGGGGAAGTCCCTGCATTGTAGCACTGCCCGCCCGTTGGGATTAGCAACGCTAGTATTCAGAGGCTTGTCGGCTGACAAAACGAGAGGTGGAGGGGACAGATTTGGCTCGGGGAGCTGGACGGGAAGGAGCATGGCTCCCGGGGACAGAGGGTTCCCCTCAGCAGGTGGAAGGCGCAGATCTGATAAAATAGCTCAGTGCCTGGAAACTGTCCATGCCACAAGCTGGTGATAACTCTAGGAACAGCAAAACCTGAGCTCCTGGAACAGGATGTGTAGAAATGTGCAGGGAACTGATAAGTTGTGGGGACGACGACTGGTGGTGTGGAGGTTGCTAAGCTTGGCCGGCGTCTGTCAGAACCAACGGAGGTGCACCAAACCACAAATTAATGGGTCTCATTCAAGTCGAGTAGTTTATCGCTGCTGCTGCTGCTATTATATTTATTACCTGCCCTTCACCGTTTAAGGTCCCAGGGTGGGTAACAGCATCAAAACAGCATTAAAAACCATTTTAAGTTGGAGTTAAGGAAAAGGGATATTGTGGTGGTGGAAACAATGGGATATAAGTTGGTTCATAGGCATGGAAATGGGGCTAAAGAATAATAAAACTGTCGAGTTGGAAGGGACCCTGAGGATCATCTGGTCCAACCCTCTGCAGTTCAGGAATATGCAGCTGCCCCATAGGGGGACTGAACCTGCAACCTTGGTGTTATCAGCACCACGCTCTAACCAACTGAGCTATTCAGGCCTGCCGCTTCACGCTAGCAATTTACTTGGGCTTAGTATCCCCATGTATATAATTTGCTGGTGTGTCTAGCTCTCCCTGAGATGGTTGACCTGGGTTGGGGTGGTGCCAGTTCAGATGACAGGCAAAGGAATCGCAAGATGGAATTGAATGTCAGCCGGCCGGAATAAAACCCTCCGTGTGGAAAACCAGCATGTTGGGAGCCAGACTTAGGATCCTTCTCCCTGATGTGCTCGTGTTCTGTTTAAGGGGATATTGTTTTCTGTGGAGGAGCATTCTGTCGCCTGATGGAAGCTATGAAAGGAAAGAAGGCTTCTTTGAGGAAAGAAGGCTTGCCCAAATGAGAAGAACAGAAAGGAGCACAAACTCTGGCAAAACCAATGGAATGGCAACTGGGAAAGCGAGAGGGAGAAGAGAGTTGGCGTAAACGGCCAGCTCTTGCAATGGAGAGAAATGTATTCTCCCAAGAATCTGCACTTGGAAGTTAACTTACTAATAAATGATGTGGAGTTAGGGCTGAGCAGTGGAGTTAACAAGTCTGAGGATGACACCAAATGGTCTCTGTGGCCTGTCCTTCCATGATTTCAATAGATTAGTCCCATCTAATCTAGGAGACTGCACTTGTGGGTTTTAACAAGCCACTCTTCTCCCTATCTCCTGCAGTTGATGACAGCTTCTTGATAACTTGGGACCAAGCCTGAGCAGGTCTTAACTTCTGAGCTGTAATGCAAAATGGCAGCCCTGAAGCCCTGTCTCACCAGCTTCTCAGCCTAGACAAGGCAGAAGACTTTCAGATGCACAAAACCATCTGGCAGAAAGCCTGTCTCAGCCCAGCAGGATTAGATGAGCCGGTGTCTCCTGATTAAAAGTTGTTTGGCATGATGATGCAAGTGGGTTTCCTGTGTAGGAGTGATAGTGGGAGCATAACTGGATCACAGGAGCCCAGAAATCTCATTATCTCAGCAAAAATAGCAGGGCCAGATTCCTTTATTACGTCAAGGTGGACATTTGAGGAGTATGGATGGTAGCTGAAACTTTGCTTCTTGAAGCTTTCCTGGTCTTTCCCCTATCCTCTTTGCCTCTGTAAGAAAATTTAGCTGTAGACTAGTGCTGGTGGCTTGCAGCTCATGGAGCAGACTGGTGCTTTGATGGTGTGCCAGTTCCAACCACAGAAATCTAGCAGGAGGACATATTATGTTTCCCCGGGTCGCAATAGCTAGATTATTATGGATGTGTGTACCTTGCAGTCACAAACAGGTTTAGCTTTCACTCTAACCAGAATGATTTGTTGTATAGCTGTGCTTTCTGTTACGTTTTTTGGCAGAATAGGAGTCCTGGTGTCTGTAAAAAATGATAGATGGGGTTAGCATAGCCAGATCTTTTCTTTTTTAAAGAACAACAGTGTAATTCAGCAGCAAAAAAAAGCTAATTCTGCATCAACAGAAGTATAGTGTCCACATCAAGGGAAGTCATAGTACCACTCTATTCTGCCTTGATCAGACCACACCTAGAGTACTGTGTCCAATTATGGGCACCACAGTTTAAGAAGGATGTTGACAAGCTGGAAGGTGTGCAGAGGATGGTCAAAGGTCTGGAAACCAAGCCTTATGAGAAACAGTTGAAGGAGCTGGGTATATTTAGCCTGGGAAAAAGGAGATTGAGAGGAGATATGATCAGATATCTCAGGGGCTGTCATATGGAAGAGGAGCAAGCTTGTTTTCTCTTGCTCCAGGAGGGAGGATCTGAACCAGTGGCTTCAAGTTACAAGAATGGAGATTCCGACTAAACGCCAGGAAGAACTTTCTGACAGTGAGTGCTGTTCGACAGTGGAACACTCTCCCACGAGAGGTGGTGGACTCCCTTGGAGGTTTTTAAGCAGAGCTTGGATGGCCATCTGTCATGGATGCTTGAGCTGAGATTCCTGCCTTGCAGTGGGGTTGGCTTAGATGACGCGTGGGGGACCCTTCTGACTCCACAATTCTACGATTGTATGCGTCTAACTTACCCAGTGATTGGGGACGGGTGTTTGCTGTGACGAGATTGGGGTGTATTCCTGCTGTTGCTATGAAATACTGTTTCATGCATAAAACATGCTTGAAGCAAGGAGGGGCGCCTATTCCCGAGTGAAAATGGTTGTTTTCCAGGCCTGAGACGCATCGTTCCAAGAAGGAGCTCATCAAGGTCCTAGAAACAATGATTGAGACTTTCAAGGATCTAAAAATGCCCCACCCACCCAGTTTTGAAATGCCAGCCCTCTTGAGTCGAGAGAGCAAGTGCGCAGAAGTCTGGGTGCCGGGCTGAATACCTCGCAGGTCAGCGTTCCCTTGTGTCTGCTCACAATGGGAAGAGAAATGAGACCAGCTTCGAGATGTAGTTGTCTAGACATGCAGTCACCTTTTACAGTTAAATGTCATGGCGGTGCCTTGTTAAAGTTTAAACGAGACCCACAAAATCCAAACTGTAGTAAACAAAAGGCCATAGCTGAGCTCTCACCTCTCATGGATGATGGTGGTTGCTGAAGTGTGTTTATATCTTACATTTTGTCTTTGTGAAATGAGTTGACTGGGTGAAGGGAGGCCTCTGGTTCAGCATGCCTGCATGGCCTCCATGCTGTGCTAGGAGATCAGAATGGGAGCTAGCATGCATGTACTGGAGGCAATTTTACATTTCAAGTTGAAATACTGCTTTGGGCCTTGCATAGTCATTTCCAAAGGAGCAGGGGTTGAGTTGAGAGTGTCACTGAGCCTATACAGTGGTACCTCTAGATACGAACGGGATCCGTTCCGGAGCCCCGTTCGCATCTAGAGGTAAACGTAACTAGCAATGGCACGTCTGCGCATGCACGCGTCGCTTTTTGCTGCTTCTGCGCATGCGCGTGACGTCAGTTTCAGCGTCTGCGTATGCGCAAGTGGCGAAACCCGGAAGTATCACGCTCCGTTACTTCCGGGTTGCCGCGGAGCGCAACTCGAACGCGCTCAACTCGAAGCGTCTTCAACCTGAGGTATGACTGTACTATTGTTTGCCTGATTAAATACAGTGGTACCTCAGGTTACATACGCTTCAGGTTACATACGCTTCAGGTTACATACGCTTCAGGTTACAGACTCCGCTAACCCAGAAATAGCACCTCGGGTTAAGAACTTTGCTTCAGGATGAGAACAAAAATTGTGCGGCGGCGGCAGCAGCAGGAGGCCCCATTAGCTAAAGTGGTGCTTCAGGTTAAGAACAGTTTCAGGTTAAGAACGGACCTCCGGAACGAATTAAGTACTTAACCCGAGGTACCATTGTATATCTTTCTTACTTGCAAGTAAGAGCTTCTGCTTGTGCGTTTTGGAGTGGGAGCCAGGACACCGATGTGCTGCTTTTCCGTATGCAGGGATTTTGTGTGTATGTGTTTGGAGAGGAGTATTCAACTATGTGAGCTCTCAGCTGCAGCCTGAAATGACTTAGCAGCCTGGCCGTTTGACCACTTTCGTTTCTGCTGTAAGCCGCTTTGGCTTCTGTCTGAATAAATATTTTGCAATAAGCAACAAGCCACAGGGAGAACAAGACCATCAGGCATCATCTGCTCATTGCAACCAGTCACCAGAGGCACAGACAGAAGTTTTAGCTCCCACCAACCAGTTATTACAGCCTGAATAAGTTGCATTAATTAGGAGTGAGCTTGGGGTTTTGGTTTTTCTTTAAGCCACCCTATAAGGCTTCAGGATGGGGTAGGCTACAATTGCGAACAAGCCCATGAAGGCTGCATCCAGGGATGCTTTAAATAAGCTGCCGTAAACTCAGCCCTGCAAGTCCGTCAGCAGATCTGTTGCATGCTGCCTCTCCCTTCTTGCACAGGAGGAAAAGGGGGCCTGATATGTTTTGGGCGTTCAGTGGTCCGGAGCTGGGATTCCATACCGCACTCCCTGCAGGCATGGACTCTCGTGAACCAGGGCCCCATTGTTGACCTCGCTAATAGATTTAATTGGCCGAGCGTCTCAAAGCGGAGCGCCTGCTTGTTGCTACATTTCCCTCGATGTGCTTTGAGAGTTCTGGCACCGGCGTATTTATGTTCCGTTCATTTCCAACGCAGGCCCTTTGCCGCTGCCAGCCTATTAATTTCTAAACTGCCTGCAGCTACAGATCGCGATGGGTGGCAGGGCTTTGCGGTTACTGCACCAAACAGCTGGACTAAGCGACCTGTTCCATTGAAACAAAACCCATGCGGCCTCTGGTTTCTCAAGGAGCCCTTAATCCTTTCTCTTAAGACCTGTCAGCACAAGAGAGCAGTTGTTTTAAGCTCCCTGCTGTCTACCGCTGCACGTCATCTGCCCGGCCGAGCTCAAAGTATCTGAGGGCTGGCGTCCAGGGTCACAGTCGTAGCGCCCTGGGCTCTAACGTGGCCTGATAAGGGCACGTGGGACCCCTTGCATGAGTGGGGCGTTCCCTCTCTGTTCAGACGTGATTCTGCCGAAGACTAAATCGAGACGTTATGTAAGCAGTGTATCTTGGAATGCGGTCGCTTTTTTGAAATTCCATTCATTAATGGGTTTTTAATTGAAGGAATATGTATCTGTGGAAGCAGGTTATAGCTGCAGTCAGTTTGTCACCGGATAGCGGGTCTCCGAGCACATGAAAGAGGAATTCTCTCGCTAGCTCTAAAGCTGCATAACCTAAAGCCCGAGGCAGGTTATGCAAATCTAACAACAACAATACCATGTGAAGGGCAAACAGGAAGGAATACAAATTCGGAAAAGAGCCCACCTGCCATTCATATGAATTACATAAATAAATGTGTGTGTTGTGGGTACAATAGAATTTATACACTGCTTTTGACAGGCGAGCGCTGTTGCCCCAACCTGCAGACAGAGGGAATGAGGAGGGAGTTGGTTCACGGCATGCCATTTTATTGTGTGTGCTTGTTCTATGCTGTGATAATTTTTATACAGTGGAACCTTGGTTCTCGAACGCCTTGGTACTCAAACATTTTGGCTCCCGAATGCTGAAAACCTGGAAGAAAG